GGTGTTTAGGGTTTTGCTTTGTTTTGCTTATTGTGTTCTGCCTCAGCTTCCTTTCTAGATGTACTCTTTCTCTTTGGAAGTAGGAAAGGCAGCCCCCCACTCTTTCAGCTTCTTTCTTTCGTCGCTTCACTCTCACTGTGGTACCACTGGGATGGCATGAGTGCCTTACTCCTGGAAGGGTTCAATCCAAGGTTGACTGAACTCAGAGGAATTGTTAAGGGAAAGATTCAAGGTCAATCGTGGTGACCTTTCACAGGCAGCTTCCATCTGTGGAGCATTTTCTGTATGTTGTTCTGTCTTATTCTCCTATAATATTGAGAAGGAAGTCGTGTTGTCTTCCCTGTTTCAGAAACGAGGAAGCCAAGGCTCAGTCATTACATGAATTGTCCAAGGTCACTACCTACTAAGGGTCTGATCTGGGAGGTAAATCCTGGACTCTGATGCGGCATGCTTTGCCAGCCAGCTGGATTGATTTACCTCATCTTTTTCTTGCCTCTGATCTCTGTCTCACCCACTCTGTCTTTTGGACTATAGCCAAAGTCATCTTCCTTAATAGCCCAACTCAACACAGTATCCCATTTATAGATCCCAGATTCTTTGGTGGTTCACCATTGCACGCAGGTTCAGCAGGGTGCACGATTCCCCTCGACAGTGTATTCCTACCTCATTTTCTTGTCCAGTCTTACCTTCCTCCTCTTATCTTCCCAGTATTCCGGAAACTTTAGTCTATTCCGATTTCCTGATCATGTCCTCTCAACTCCAGGCTGTTCCTCTGCCTGGAATATTCTTCCTCTAATATTCACCTATTGATGTCTCTCCTTTCTTCAGCTCAAATCTTATCTCCAGATCCACCCCTCGGGCATCATCCAGCTCCCCACACAGGCCCACTGATGTTAGTTGTGTTTGTTTCTCTATGAGACCTTGGACGACTTTCTCTTGTAACTTCTCAATGCTTCAGTTTTCTGTGTTCAGTGGGGATAATAGCAGTGCTGAATGATAACAGCAGGGCAGTGAGGGCCAAATGAGTTAATGCCTGGAAAGCACTTGGAATCGGGCTCAATGCATGGTAGTTGCTGAGGTTCCTGCCTGTGTGTCTCTGACCTCTTCAACCTCAAGAGCTGAGTACTTTTTCCCCTCATAGCACCTAGCAGAGGATTTTACAGATAGTTTTGCACCAGATAAATGTCTGATGGGTTGAACTGATCTTTCATTCCTGAAAGTTCATGATTTTCTTTGCCCTTGAATTATTTTTTGCTTATTGGAAATTCCAATTTAACCAGCATCTGGTATTTTTATTTGCTACATCTGGCAACCCTGCCTTACCTTCTTCCTCTTCCCCTCAGCACCCAACTCCTAGAGACCAATCCCTCTCAGCTGGGGAAGACTTGTCCCCATCCTTCCCTCTTTAGCTACTGTGCCAGAGGTCCTGTCCCAGGCCAAGGGTACCACCTCTAGGGACTTGCAGCCGGGCAGCTGTCTATACCCAAT